TGCCTTGTTCACTCCAGATGAGTCATGTCCTTAAGTGCTTGGCCTGGGAGTGGGTGTTCAAGGGAATTGTGTCCCAGCTTCCACCAGACGTGAAATGCCCTTTCTGCAAATGGCAGAAACACCTGCGTTTCTCCACCAGCTTGGGAGGACATTATGTTTTCCTGAGTGTCACAGAGACTTTCAGTTTAAACCTTATCTATCGTCTTGGCTGCAGGACAGGGGTGGAAATATGTGATTAATATCAGTGTCTTACTGTTGCTATTATTACTCTCATGGGCTTTATGAAGAAGCTCCGGTTGTTGCTCTAGGATAGGTAATGATGTTCTACTTTACCGTTGGTTAACTATTTCGCTTTACGGTGGCATGTCATCATCTCCAGCCGATGTTTGTCGCTGCCTAGCTCACCAGATGTGAAGCCAAGAAAGATCTGCTTCTTTGCTCTCCACGTTTCCATCACAGATCAGCTGGATTCAATACATAATTCCCTAAGATTTTGCCACTACATAGTTAGGATAGTTTTTTTCTTGAGAACAAGATCAAATCAGACAATGCTGTTCTGATAAATGCAATTGGAGCATGGGAATTACAGTGGCCGAGGAAAGTGCTGTTCGTTTTGGACAAAGCCAGCTTTTCCAGGGGCCGTGTGCAGGGCTGTGTATCCGCTGGAGCAATGGGAGGGGGCACTGGGGCTCTCACTTCTTTTTCAGTAAAATGAGCATGAACGGCCTTGTTCTCCTTACCCAAATGTGGTTGAAGTGTTTTTAAAGTTATTAAGAATCCTCAGAACGAGCAAATAAAGATCTAGCAAAGTGTCTGACACAGAGTAAACCCGCATTTATGGCATTTTGTGGCAGACACTTTACGATGCTCTCATGAAATCCTCACAGTGAGCTTTTTGCCTCTTTGTTACCCGAGGAAATCAAGGCACAGAGAAGTTATGTCGCTTGTAGAAGATCCCACAGCTGGCCAGGGGCAGGCCGGGCTCAGCAGGCAGGGATGACCAGCTCGGGAGCTCACACTCCTCCTGCTCTCTGGTGTCCACAGGCCGGCAGCAGCCTGGGCTCTGCTTTGTCTATTTCAGGAGCTTGGGAGTCTGCACACCCCACTTGCACTTTCCATACGGGTGTGTCCTGTGTAGACAGAGACCTTCAGCCTGGGGCGTGGGCCAGCGGGACACAGCGCCCACGCTGTAATGTACTGCCATCCTTCAGCCGAGTTGCCTCACATGGTGACATAATGGAAATCTTCCTTTTCCCTTCAACGAATGACCTTTTATTAGTTTGAGAAAGCAGCTTACAGGCCAGTGATTCAGTATCAAAAAGCAGAATTATTTGTTTATGAGAAGGCTCACCACTCACCTGCCTGTTCCCTTCCACTAACCCCCCTCCCTCAGCCTTTAAGACTGGGAATTGCAGGGGATTAAACATAAGGCCCTTGTTAATTGCAAATTAATATTGCCAGGAATGTATGCAGATGGCACTGGAAGTCAGTTGCTGACGGACGGCATCATATTCTGGTTCTATTTTTCTTTCCTGCAACACAAGTACACTACGTGAAGGGAGATGGGTCTTAGGTGCTGGTTCAGCCCTGCATTTATGCAGGATGACTTTCAAGTTCTTGGCCTACCACTGTTGTTATCTTACAAATTTGGGGGCTTTTGCTTTTATTTAGTCATTAATTGTAACCCGCTTTGGGCTTTGGTAGTTTGTAGGACACAGGTGCAACTCTCCAGACTTGTGTGCTGTACCTCTTAGACAACATTTGCTTAGCTAGTAAATATTCTGCTGCTCGAGTTTGCTCATTCTCAAGCGACTGATGGTAAAGTTCCACTGTGGTAACAGGCCCGTGGGGAACGTCTGTGCTTTCACTGGCACTTCAATCACATTCATCAGATGATTTTTCTTTTACTTTCGAGGCTGACATTCCAGTAAATTTTTCAAAGGTCACATGCCCACTGCCAAAGTCAATCAATGAAATGAAAAATCCAACATTTTTAGGCAAGAGAACGATCACTGTACCACGCAGGATGACCCAGGCAGAGAGAAGACACAGTCCCATCTTCCCAAACTAGACGGGAAGAATGCTCTGAAATGCTGACGTGGAGCGGATTCTACTTTGGCCTCATTAATAGCTACTTGGAAAATAAATCTTGATCCAGGGCTTTGGAAAAACCATGTGCTTCACATCTTGGGATAAGTGGCAGTGTGACTGGTGAATCCCAAGTGGGGGCTGGACCTCAGGTCTGAGCTTTGGACTCCCATCTCTGTGACTATGCCCTAGAGATGAGGGCCTGGGTAAGTCTGGCTATTACTTCTTCCATCTGGAGGGAGCAACTGAAATTTTCCATTGTAGTAACCCCTGTTTTTCTAGAGAAGCAAATGTCCCTGCTGGGCTCCCATTAGAGCTGGCCTGGGGATGGGCACCTGTTCAGGAAGGGGAGGAGCTGGGCCAATAGCCTCGGGACCCTGAACCCCACGGAAGTCGGTGCTGATGCTATCACAGGTGGGAAATCAGCAGTCTGGGGAGGCCTGGCTCCCACCTGGCAGCACAGAGTGGACGAATCCTTGTGTACCTCTCACCATGTTAAAAATGGAACCAGTCATGACGGCCCATGGGCGTTAGTTGTTTGTTGCTCTCCTGTAATTAAAAGTGCTACTCAAACCCTGAATAGTCGCAGGAACACATGTTTAGATTCTGGGCTTTCCTCCAGCCTAGTGCCCCCCAATGCCCTTTCCACACGTCACCCCCTCCAAGTTCCCTTTCCAACATGTTTCATTTGGCTGTGTAGGTGTCTCCTACCCACCCCTCCATGCTCTGGAGCACATGTGCCCCCACTGCTCCCAGAGTTGACAGTCCCAGTGGGAGTCTCAGCTCCAGCTCAGCCCTACAGGGAGGCACTTGTGGGCAGAGAGCCTCACTGCCTACTTTGCTTTACCACCTGGCCTTGTACCGTTAAGGAGAATAAGATCTCTGGCAGACCACTGTGCAGATTAACAGGGAAAATGTGTGCTGATGTACACAGAGGGAAGGATAGACGTGTAGGTTTAGATTCTAACCAGCAAGTGTTAGTAGTCAGTAATGAACTTTCAGAAGGGTCTTAGTTTGCTGGACCACATCCTTCCTGAAGACCAAGGGGTGAGCCTGCAGGCTGTCAGAGATTAAACCCAGCTCATGGCCAGATTCTTCTGAGAGGATCAAACCCGTGTGACCTGCATGTGCTTTTAATAGCCCATCAGGAGCTGAGCGGGAGTTCATCAGCACAGCAGTGAGTGACCAGCAGCTTCCAAAGCTGCAGCCAGCCAGGTCTGGGCACTCCCTGGGGGAGGTGCTTTATGGTCCTGCGGACACACATTCTCCACTGGGGCAGAGCTGAGCTGTGCCTCCAAAGACTCTGTTTCCGCCTTGGTCCTTATTACTCCCACTTCTCCCTCGACGTACTCAGTAAGGACCCTGGGCTATGATGGAAAGCAGTGCTGTCATTCACGGGCAGGATTTGGTATATTATAAAAGAGCAGGAGTTAGCGTGAGGGGCCACCCAACACATCTTTAGAAGGATGTAAGTAAAAAGGGTCCCTTCGTGCGCCTGCTGTCAACCACACCTGGCGACAGTGGGAACTTGGTGAATAATAAGCTGCTTGTAAACTAAAATAAAATCCTAAGCTTCCTACCAACCGATGGGCCCCCCTCTTGGGGATCCCAGAAAGGACTTAAGATTGAATTGTTAGCTGTGAAGGGAAGGGCGGTTGGGCACATCTCTGTGATGATAATATACTAAATTATTACTGAAACCACCCTTGATGAAATTAGTAAAGGGCCACAGATGGGAACTGTGGTCGGAGCCTAAACTATAGTTACAATATGCATATAACCAGCCTGTGTTTCCCAGTTCGCTCTCCCATCATTGCTGACTGCTCAGGAGTCATGTAACTGACAGTCGTAAAGATTCTGAGCTTTCTTCCCGGCTCCTATAGATGACTTTGCCCTTGTGAAACCTACGGTGAGCTTTTGAGATATCTCCCAGGGCCTGCATTCGCATGGGCAGCTGATCCATCCAGGCCAGTGGCCCTTACCAAGGAACTGACACAACTGCACTTGTGACCCCCATGCAGGAATTAGCTCAGGATGAGAAAATTACTGTAGCTCAGTGATTCCACCTTGAACCCAGACAATCAGAAGACTCACTGCCTAGCCCTCTGCCTACCAAACTGTCTTTAAAAACCCTTTCTCCTAAATTCTCAGGGAGACAGATTTGAGACATTCCTCCTGTCTCCTCACATGGCGTCTGTGATATTAAACGCTTTCTGCACTGTAACCCTGCTGTCTCAATGTCTTGGCTTCCCCTTGAGCAGCAGGCAATGGACTTGATTGGGCTGTAACATTATTAACAGGACCCACGGCCATGCCGAGCAAAGGCTAAATCTCCTGCAGGCCATCCAATCTCCTGCAGATCACTTGAGGGGGTATATTGTGGCTTGTCTCTGATTAACGGACTTCCTTATCTTAAAACATTGCAAACTTTTATAGAAAGCTTTATTTCTTTTTTAACTAATTACAAATCAAAGAATCTTTGAACCCACCTATAACTTGTAAGCTCTAGCTTCAAGATGGCCCATCTTTTGGGGCCAAACCAATGTACACCTTCCATGCACTGGTTTAGGGATTTTTATCTGAAATTCCTGTCTCCCTAGAAATGCATGACCCAATCACTGCAGGAGCACTTGCTCAAGGCGTTTTGAGGGTGGCTCCCTGGGCCATGATCACACACATTGGCTCAAAATCTCTTTAAATTATTTTATAGAGATTGAGGTATTTTTTTTTTCCTTTTTTCTGTTAACACTTTATTGAATGAGTGAGTTCAGAACAGAAGTTGTAGAGTTTGGGCAGGAATGATTAGGAAAACCTTTTTTGGAGGAGGGAGGGTCTGTGTAGGTGCTAAAGGCAGGGGTGGACTTGAGTGAGGAGATGGGGAGGCCGGCATCGCTGGCTGGCTCCCCGGAGTGAAGAGCTTGGGCGGGATGGGAACTAATGGGGAGGGGAGAGCCATGGTAGGAAGGGAGAAAGGGTTCCCTAGAGCCCTTGGATTCATCCCTAGCCCTCAGCCATGGAGGGTCCCCGTGGTCCGTGAAGATAGAGGAGTGCTCACTGCAGAAGTTTGTCCCCTTAGTGTGGCACCTGCTGTGGACAGGGCATTTGCTGCTATAGGTGGGGCTCCCAAAACAGGAGTTGGAAACAGTTCAGGATTGATCGAGCATTACTTTTTTTTTTTTTTTTTTCCCCTTTGGTTCAAAGGCCCCCAGGGGTTTGGCCTTCCTTTTTTGTTGCGTTTTTTTGAGGGGTTTTATTTTGTTCTTTTCCCTTTCCGGGGGGAGAGGTAGAGGTAGCGGCAGCCACTTGGGACTGACCATTCTCCCTTTCTCTGGAGGTTTTGTTTGCTCCAAAATGAATTGGCCTGTGAGATTTCCCCAGGTTACAAAAGGCCTGTGTGGAGCCTGGCAGGTCACTTAAGCCCCGGGTCTTCAGTTTCAGCACCAACAAAGCCAAGCTGCTAATACCTGCCTCGAGGGTTGGAGCAGGGGTCAAGAGATCATTGATGTGAAAGTGCTTTTAGCCTTTTCAGAAAGAACAACTTTGCATGCCACAAAAGGATTCCTTCCTTTGAATTATTCATTTCCACACTCTTTGAAAGGACTTTGAGAGTGTCCTTTAAGGAGAACTCCGAGGTGGCTTGGGACAAACCTTTGGGAGTAGGATTCCTTCAGTTCCCCGGCTGTAGCGAAAAACTTGAAGAGAGCCATGGCAGGAAGGAGTCTTGACCAGAGAGTTTTCTCCTCCAGGGTTTGGGCAGAGTTTAGAGCAGGAAAATCTATTTTGATCTGTTAAGCCTGTTACTCTGGAGAGCCTGGAATTCTAATGAGTGTATCCTATTTCAAAGCAGCTTTCCCACTGCTCCAGGACAGCCCATAGCCAGGATCATGGATTCAAACGATTGACAAATACATTTGCATGGCCGGTCATTATAGTAATAGACATTTGCAAATTACTTTCAAACGTGTGGAATTACTTGTATTGTTAGCACATTTTGATCCTTTCAACAGCCCTTTGGTGCTGGTGTCATCAGGGTCTTTCATTAACATATATATTTTTTGTTTTAATTAACGGAGTCATCCAAAGGAAGTACAATGTATAATTTGTTCAAGAGGCAGAGCCGTCCACACTGTTTCTCGTTCATGTCAGCATTGCCCACTGTGTGGCCCAGTTCCTCCAAGGGCTCACGGTGCAGAGAGGGGGCTCAGCTCATACAGATGAGAATGCAGCTGTTACTCCCAGACCCCACATACATGGAGGGGGAAGTGGGAGACTCGCCAAGTGCATGGTCACTATCCTGAGGGCCTGGCCACCCAGAGTGTTTGCAGGGGAAGTCATTTACACCTCACAACAACCCTACGCGGCAGGCTATCCCTGTTTTCGGATTTGAAAATGGAGAATTAAGTAATGAAAGTATCTAGTCTGAGGTCACACAATGAGTGGATGGTGGCATCTCCGTTTCCCAGGCAATCTGTGCAGCTGGCTTGCCTGCCCACTCTGTGGTCTAGCCTGGGCACTGCAGGGAGTGGGGAGGGAGAGTGTGCCCTGTGGAGAGCAGGAACTGAGCCGCTGCTCTGCTGTTCCTACTCACTGTTCCAGGTACATCATAGGATTCTGGGGCCACATGTTCTGGAAGGACTGAAGACGTGACAAGCCACCTGCCAACCTGCCGGGCATGGGTTGGCCTTTGCCTTCCTTTCACCTGGCACATTGGAGTCACCTGGCACATTGGCGTCAGACTCAGCACCCAGGGAGGCTGTGTCACCAGACCTGGCAAAACACCTACATCCTGGTTCGTTACCAGCGAAGGGAGCTGTCCAGAGATGAGAGGGCAGCACAAGTAATGCCCAACTTTCAAACGCTCCCTGAATCACATCCTCCTGCACCCCATGCTCTGAAATGCCTTTATAGAGGTGAGTCCCGAATGTAATAAAACTGTACCCCAGGATGTGCTGGAAATCCCCTCAATCTAGTAAAAAATCATTACACCGTGATGGCTGCGATTCAGCTGCGGGTGAGGCAGCCTCTGAGCTGGTCAGCTTGTCTCTTCCCCAGTAGTTTTGTGAATCCAAACAACCCTAGGAGCACTGCCCACCTGAACCACGTTAAGCTTGGCAAATGGAGTTACAAATCCTTAGTATGTGTTCAAGTTCATTTGTGTCCTTTGCTGTCTTTCAACACTTAAACTTGAAAAGGGTTTGACTCACTGTGGAGAAGTAGGGGAAATCCATGCCATTGGGGGGGAAATCATGTCACTGGCAAATTCACAGACAGGGGTCTACCTTGCGGACGCAATGCCAAGCAGAGGTAAAATTCAATCTCTTTAGAAAACCAAGGCCATTTTTCCTAAACTGGGAAAATAATATAGGTTGGAATACAGAACACTTTTTCTCTTTCAATGTGTTTTCAAGTTGGTGATCTAAAACTAACAGTATGTGTAAATGTCAGTTCTCTTTAAATTAGTCTATGTTTATTAAATTTTTATGAGAATTTATCAAGATGGTGAAGGAATAAAAGTTATATTCGTGATAGCAGAGTGAACTATGGGGCTATTCCTAAACAGCGTTTCCAGCATATTAATTGTTGCTTAGATAACAGTCCTATCTCTTTGGGGCCTCTGTTTGGGTTTAACATCAGAGCTGGAAAATTAATACAGTCATTACACAGCCGAAAGCCGTATCATTTACCAGTTCATTATTGTTCAAATCAAAATCCATACTTTTCTGGGTCTCCCCAGGGTTATGAACTAGATAGGGAGCTTTATCATTCTGCAAAGTAATCTCTTGTGGGTCTCCCTCCTCTGTGTTCAGAGAAGCAGGCGCTGAACGACATTCATTTTCGTATTAACAGGTCCTGTGCTGAAGATCTGGTGGAGGCCCCATCCTCCTCCTTCCACCTGGTCACCCTCCTCTCCCTCTCAGCCACTTGGCCAGGAGCTGGAGTGGAAGCCCTGACAACTTGCCCTTCCCCAAATTGCAAGTCATGGAGAGGACGGACTCAGCTTCAGTTTTAATCAAACAACTGTGCTACCTCCTAATTTTTAGATTCTGGCTACTCAAAAATAGATTCAGTCTTGCAAACTCGGGTTCTTCTAGAAGAGTCGTCCTGAAGAGCAGGTCCAGGCCTGAGCTCTGCCTGTGGTCCACCCCGCGAGGGAGACCAGGAAGCTCTCAGATGCTACGTTCCACTTTCTTACAGATTAGCATATTTTAAACCAAGAGCCACTTCCCACGCCATGGAACCAAATTTACCCTTATTCTAACACTTAGCTTTTAATGAGTTTAATTAAGTAGTATTCTACCTGAACAAATGATGTGCAAACAGGTCAAAATCAGAAATTACGTTTTTGTTTTTTGAAGTTATAAGTAGGGACAGGAGGGAAATTATTGATTTCTGAAT